GATAATAGTTTTTCCGGTCCCCGCCTTTATCTAGCTGAACATAATGAAACTATTGAAGTATATATATCTTTGATCATATATACACAGATAGTGACTGTTTCGGTCGCATTTTATCTGAGTAAATATCATATCTTTCTAGGTATAACAAAAACAATAGAGTTTGAAGGAAGAAAATACTTAACTAACATCCTGATCGCCATTTAACTGAAGATAAAAGTTTCAATTTTAAAGTAATTTATAATCATCAGAGTGTTTTCATTTATATACACATGTACATATTATATATATATCGTGTATACTAGTATGTAGTGACTAAAGCAACTTAACATGTATGTATCCAGATGAGCCAAAATATTTCAAGAAAATCAAACTTGAGAGAAATATACTAAACTTCGAATTTCGAGTTTCAAGTAATAATTAACATTTTATGTGCTATAGATGACTGAAATTGCAGAATCTAATACGATTTTTCTACTGCGTGACTAACGGAGTAAGGGCTGTTTTGTATATGTTTGACCTCTTGTTGGCAGTTTACATGAATTGTAAGTGCCGCATAAAATATTTAATTAACTGTCTTTGTTTGTTTCACAGAATTTGACTTTTATATACATTTTAAAAATTGTCATGAAAATAGCATAAATCTGGAGGCATGCTGCTTTAAAGGACGAAATTAGAACCTTATTCCCCGCAATAAGCACAATGACAGAGTTTATGTATAATGCAGCTAAATTGATTTATAACCCTCTTTAATGCTTAAATTATATAACCGCATGTATTAAACAATGAATTATGACAACTACAATTCTTAGAAATGCTCAAACTTAAAATATTTGCGTCTAGTGTTGTGATCTTTATGCGATATTTTTATTTAAAGCCATACTCTAAGCAACAATGGAAATTAAGCTAGTATATTTTCAGCATTAACAGACAGACTAAACAACAATCTGTTTCGGATATTCACAAAAGAAGCGGTTGTTAAGGGGGGGGGGGGGTAGACAGTAGTTTCTGTCCATAAACAGACTCAATCAAACCGAGCCTGGACCATTAATAATTTGTTCCGCTATAATAGCGTCAACGCACGTTTATTTCGTGCTATAAAGTCTGCAGAGTCCCTCGGAACTGTTGGAGCCCTCGCCCTATCGGGCTCGGGCACCAACCGTTCCTCGGGACTCTGCAGACGTTATAACACGGAAAAACGTGCGTTAACCCTATAGTTAAATTATATTTTTCTGCATTAAAATTGATTCTTTACCCTATATCCCGAACCTGTAAGTCGTATAATTCATATAATGATCGGTCATAAGTAGTAGATGACTCTTATTGATTTGGGGGTCACTAGACCAAAGGTCAAGGTCACGGGGGTCTTAAATGTCAGAATCGTTTCCGCTTATTATCTTGAAAACTATTTATTACAAAGTCCTTATATTTGACATATTTATTTGTCATAACTAGTAAATACCCCCTAATGAGTTTGGGGTAACTATTTCAAAGGTCAATGTCACAAGGGCCTTAAATGTCAGAATGGTTTCTCTCATTATCATGAAAACTATCTATCACAAAGTCTTCATATTTCACATATTGAATAGCCTATGTATTGGCTATATCCCAATTGATTTTGGGATCACTAGTGCAAAGGTCAAGGTCATAGGGGCATTTAATGTACATATAAATTCCGCTTATTACCTTGAAAACTTTTTTATCACATAGCCTTCATTTTTTCATTGCTATTTTTATTTTTTGTTACATTTTCGCTGTTCTGTTGCAACTTCCACAAAAAATTGGTCATTTTCATGAGTTTCTGTTGTATTACTGTCTGCAATTCGTACACTTATTGTGTTTTTAGTTTACGCTTATTGATTATTAACTAAATTCCTTCAGGCAAAGACGCTATATGTACAGTTACTTAAATTTGAGCAATGTTTTATTTTATTTATACAGGTCTTATCTTTTCAATGATGCGAAATAATTTTATCCAGATTATGATTTTACAGGTTAAGAATCTACTGCTATTCAGTCTAATTTTTATGGTTTTAAGGGTTTTCACTGTAAAGCAATTTTACCAGAAATTCTTTAAGTCTTTTAGAACTAGATTAGCAATTGTTTCTTATTTTAGCAATATTAAGTTGTAATATGCATATGAATATGGAATGAGAAGAGAGGTAACTCTGTAAGTTATATTTGAAATTTTTGCAGAGTTGCCTCCCTTCCATTGTCTCTTGCAAATGGCCGTACATAACCAACTTTTATTCTGTAAAATTGTGTTATTGAATTGTTTTATGTTGTTATTTATGGATGAGACTCAAATAAACCAATTTTGAGATCCACCCATGCAGAACATTTTGATAAATATCGTATGTGTCATTATATTGTAGGTTGCATTATTTTGAAAACACAGAATCACTATCGTCACATGGTAATTTAAGATTTATATATATAACACTTTATCAAAGTATGCTATATTAATCAGCTATCAAAGTAAGTAATTATTGTTATTTTAATACAGAATAATTGTTGCCATGACCGTGTCACATTGAAGGTATCATTATAACTGCCGCGAATGTTTCTAAATTCAAAAGTTCATCATTTTCGTGTTTAAATGTCGAATTCGCTTAAGCCAATTCTAGGGGGCGTGGACGGTACCATGATCTTCCCGGTAACGTTCATGAATAGGCCGAATCAAAACGAGTCCTCTACATTTTCAATTTAGTCGTTGTGGCGTTCTTCAGGGGATTTTATCTGTTTTCCCTGTTTAAACCTTTACAGCGTTTTAGTATAAATAAGTGAGCTTATAGGTGATTTAATATGAGGAAACATAAATTAGAACGGATTTACATTCTTTAAAGTTTAATAGAAGATTTTTAAAAATCCGTTATAGAAAAGAATGGATATATTCTGGCGTAAAAATTTATTAAACAACAAAAAATATTAAATAACATCAGGCACAAAAACTAATACATTACCATGTGATAAAATGAGAAGACAGAAGTACTTGTTACAGCGTCCTCGACTTTTCACAGTGCTTGATAGTTACAATTGCCAGAATAATGTGAAAATAAATTACAAAGATAATAAGTGAAATTTCTCACAAATACAGTTAACCGTATACAAGTGAAATCAAACAAAGATTTTAAAATAGTTCTTTTACATAAATACCCTAATTTAATTTACAATGAATGAGAAATTTGGTACTTGATTCAAAATTAAGATTTTTTATAATGATACCTAGTAGAATAAGACGTCTTGTTTTGTATTGCGAATGCGCAAGCGAGGTAACTCGTGAAGGCTTATTTGTACGGTTTGGTTCGGACGACAGACTTTAGTCATAAGATTCTTACAGAGTTGTCGCTCTTTCAACTTTATGCCATACGATATGAAAATGAAAAGAAAATCAAGTCTTATAAAATGCTATTCATACACCCTTGTTATCTGAACAATATGAAATCATTAGATTATTTTGTGTAATAAAAGTGTATATAACTGATAGTGTCATAGTCAGTCTCTTGTTCCTCACGCTTCTTTCTTCCTCCATCAAACAGTTAAAAAAAGGATTCATGCTCGTGACAAATTCTGCAAATGCTCTTTTTGTTACAATGGGTGTGTGTTTTATTCTGTTTTGATTTGGTCTTTTAACGTCATTTATTCCTTCTTTATATCTTTTATTCTGGTTATCTTTTATTCTAAATGAGTTACGTCTTTTAACGTATATTTTTTAGTTTAACATTTAAAAAAATGTTATCTTTCCTTAGCGCCTTTCCAGTTTTCCTGGTAGCGGAAGACATCGGATGCTCCTTTGTGCATTATTGCATGCACTGCAATTACATGACTGATTTTATTAATGCACGTTTGTAAAATCGACGTGGGTGTGTCGGGGGCTGCATCCTTTAAACGTTGCCTTGCCTTGTTGCTCTTCATTCTTGTTTTTTTATCGAGAACTGTGATGTTTATATAAATAATAATACAATTTATATACACGACTGCTGTACATTTAAGAAGTATAGAATTATATATTTGTTTTCCTCAAATAAAGAAATACATGTATTCATGTTACGTAAAAGGTGGAATAAAATGTCCAAAAAAAAGCATTATAAATGATAAATTAATACAATTTCCGATACAAATCAAAGCTCGTGTGATTAATTGTACTCTATTTTCAAGATCAATATTTCGATATTGACTATAATTCAATTAAAATGAAAATTGACACAGGGAGACAGTCGTGTTATTTTTTATTTTGCGCCTTTTTTTCATAGGCTAGTTCTGCTAAAAATATACATTGTACAAAATTTCTTGCCGTAATTTTTACTACTGAAAATTAAGTACAGCTTTTTGATGAAGTTTTTAAAGTAACCGAAATATAGACAGAGTAATTGAAGAAAAATCATGCCCAGCACTTTTTCAGAATATCACTTTTTAAAAGTCCCAAATTTTAAAAAACCCCTTTTTGTGATAAAATCATCTTTGTTTTAAAAATAACAAAAAACAGGTTTTTTTAGTATTTATTCATAAATATTTAAATTTAATTTATTGATACAAAGAAAAAAACAACCCAAAATCGTTTTTCCAAAAAAAAAATCAATCAGCTAAATTTTAAAAATTTTAATTATTTATTTATTTTTAAAATTATAAAATTTGGCATGCATATCATATATCGTAGCAAAATTCAAAACAGTCTTAATTTTGGAAGTCGGCACTAACGGTTTGGGGTGATCTTTCAATAAAATAATTCGAAGGGGAAGGAAGGCGGGTTGTTCAATGAACGCAACCCCCACACGACCCAGCAACAAGTACCAGCTTCCAGGAGCCCAGGAAGACCCCAAAAACATACGTTTTGATATATCAAAAAATAATTAAACAAACGAATTTAAAACAGCTTGTACAAAAGGTAAATAAATTTAATCAATATAATATCTAACCTAAAAGTACTGCGTTTGACATTTTTCTCATGTTCTGTCGTAATTTTGCCGAATGATAAACCTGTCCTATATTATTCTTTAAATACAAAAAAATATAAGCATAATTATATTATAAAATTTCAATTAAAGAAAGTATAATTTACTCAAAATTTACTATCAATAGTGCTGCATGAATCTGTTATCTGTTCTAAATTTATACAATAACAATGGTGCATTTTAGGTTAATGTGAAAACTTCATAAAAATGAAAGATACAAGTAATTTCAATATATAATCATTTTTAAAAGAAAACATGTCAAAAGTAAAGGTTTTACTTACATATCATTATAATTATAAACAAAAGCAAGGTCCATGTGCCAGAAAAGTATGTAATACTGTATATCTAACAAGTTTGTTGATTGCTATACCTAATTTTATGATAAAATCATTCATTTATTATTTTGATAAAATATGTATAAAATAGACAAATATAACTAAATATAATAACATATAAATAATGATAAAATAATACTTGGTTAAATTAATTACTAGAAACAAACACATTTAACATGAAATATTTGTACAAACTACAAAAACTAGGCCTATTACAAAACGTCCATACAGGCTTTCTTCAGTAAAATGTAATAACTTCCTAACAATGTTTCCAATAAGGTTTCTTCAACAGAAAAGGCATTTCAGAAATAACATTCTGACAATATGTCCAATAAGGTTCCTTCAAGAGAGAAGGCATTTCAGAAATAACATTCTAACAATATGTCCAATAAGGTTCCTTCAAGAGAGAAGGCATTCATCAGAAATAACATTCTAACAATGAGTCCAATAAGGTTCCATCAAGAGAGAAGGCATTTCAGAAATAACATTCTTACAATTTGTCGAATAAGGTTCCTTCAAAAAATGAGACATTCAATAATTAATTTCCTGACAATGCTTTCAATTAGGTTCCTTCAAGAGATGTGATATACCAGAAATAACTTTCTGACATTTTTAAAGAGGTTTCTACATATATGTGACATTCCAGTAATACAACTCTGATTAGGTTATGACGATGCTTCCAATGAGGTTTTGATAATGTTTCTAATGGTGTTTCCAAGAGATGTGTCATTCCAGATATAAAGCTCTATTTACTTTTTTTCCTCTTGTGACCTTCTTGTTTATGTACTTCACCAGCATTCATTTCTTGTGGTCTTTTTAATACCTTAAACTTATCAGTTAATGAACTTTGCCGTATTGCTTTGATCCTGGTATCCTTCTTTACTTCTCCTTCATCTTTTTGTTCGTGAGTAAGAGATCCATATTTAGGTTCATTTGCGCCTTCATCTATTTCCGTTACCAATAACGGAGTGGCTCCATTGATGTTTGTATTTATATTGCAGAATGCGCCTTTCTGTCGTTTCAAATGTTTTTCGTTCACTATTTCCTTGTCTAAGCCTCTTTTATTTCCATTTCCTTTGTTCTCCTTTGTCTTTTTAACTTCCTTTTCAATTGTATATTCTTGTTCCTCTGTCCGTGTGCTTGATGGCATGTCAGTTTTATTTTGGTTTTTCTTTGTTGATTTCTTTTTACTTTCTTTCACTTCCTTTATCAAATTTTGAACGCCAACATCAGGACCATCAGCCGATTCACTTCTGTATTCCTCGTCAGCAAACGAAATATACCAAATTAGTGCTTGCTTAGTTTTTATGTCTCGATCAGGGAACTTACCCGTTATTCTTTGAGGTATTTTCAAATTGTTCACTGCTGTTGTTATCTTTTTTCTCGACCTTTGCAGTATATTCAATGGACATTTTCTGAATACGTAGTTTGTATCTAATAAAACATAATCGTTGATGTCGCTAATTGGTACACGCTCCTTTCCTCTAAATTGACTATAAATCATCTCTGCAACTTTTTCGTTGTCATCCATATTTACAAAATTTAGGGATTGTCCCTTACATATCACATCATAATCAGACATAACCATTTTGCCTTCTTTCTGGCTACATCTGTTCATGGATTCCTTCATTGCCTCTATACCTTTTCTATGATTTGTTACATGAACCATGTGAAAAAGTGTTGTGTTTCTTTTATCCTTGAGTTCGAATGTTAATGAAAACTTACATTGGGTTTTCCTTTTCAGAAAAGCTTCATAATTGCTAGTGCATTTTTGTATCTTATTACTAAATTCGAATTCTCTCTCCGGCTGGCAGAAGTGAATTACAAACTTCACAAATTCGACAAGTTCATCTTTGCTATCTTCTAAATCAGACGGATCAATGCCGTAATATTTTGCAACATCAAGGGATATTCCGTACAACTGAGTAACATGTTCAGGACACTTTGATACAAAACGGTTCACGAAACTACTCATAAAGTTGATCAATATTTCATTTCCAGAACCTGGAACAAACTGTTGCACATGAGCCATTGGTGTATCTTTGAAACCATAAGGATCGAGAAATGTTAGACTTCTAACAGATGAATCTCGAAGCATCGGTGGTGCTGTTGTCTTTGCAAACTCTTGATGGAAAACTTTGACTGTTAAATAGAAAGAGCCTCTACATATTTTGAACAATACATTTCCCTCCATTTGGCGAAAACCATATGTGTATTCTGGATAATGTCTCTCTAGAAATTTCATTATCAAAAGTTCTACATTTGCCGCAAGTTTTCTGTACTTTTCTATATCACTCTCAATAAAGTGTAAGGTAATGTTGGCATTTTCTCCAAATACTTTACTTCTTTTATTCCGTTTCTCAAGTTCAATAGGAAGTTCGTCTTCTGGTTCCAATTCTGAAGTTGACCAACCCCATATACTGTCCTCTTTTCTCTGTGTGTTTGTTGGCTGTCCATGTCTTTCATCTTCTCCTGATGTTTCTGTAGATTTGTTGCCAGCTTTTACAGATGTTTTGCTTCTGACTGTTTCCTGATTACTATTTTCCAACAAATCAGTCTCATGTGTATTTGGCATTTTTGGTTTGTCTTTTTTATCTTCCTTCTGTTTTAACATATCATGTCTATAATAAAAACCTAAGGATACCATTAAAGCAATAAGGGGTGATCCATATTTTTCTATTTCACTCGGCCATTCATTGCCATACCGGCCTACGCCGGCAAACCCATCTATATACACAGTTTTTAAATTAAATTTTTCGTTTTGTGTCTTTTCAATATAAGCTTGGAAGTATTTCTTAAACATCAGCCTTTTAACCAAACCATGAGGAGTATCTTCATCGAAAAAGACCTGTTTTCTGTTCTTTTTACCCATTGCTACAATTTCTTACAGTTCTTTGTAAGACCTGAAATAAGAAATATATTATGTTTAGTAATAATAATTGTAAACTTCAGTTAGAAACAGGATAATAATTGTTGGCAAATAATCAACTGCAAAAGAGAACCAGGGCATGAGTCAACACAAACATTGATCTATTTATGAATACAACCTCTTTATACTGCATATCCCTTGTGCTTTAGCGCCATAAGACAGTAAAAAAATTTGGCGCAAATTTACAGCGGGTCGGCAATGTTATTCCCGTGATTAAACAAACATTAGCATTATGTCATATGTAACGCCATAAGTATCATACATGTCAGCATGTGAACTTAAAGATCCTGTCACTCAATTTGTATGGTTTTATATTATACATATAATGCTCAAATGAAAAAGATTTATCAATATTTCAAGTTCCAAAAAGCATTATTTGTAAAGACATTACCGAATTTACATTTCATGATAATAAAGGGAGGTAATTAGAAATGTATTTTCTATAAGTCAAATGTTTCAAAATAAGAAATGAATGCATATACTTTAATGATTACATATAATGTGGAAAAATATTTGCAGTACAAATTTTAAATATACTTCAATGGTTGAAAATTGTTTTAGAAGCATAATTATATACATATATAAAATTTCACTTAAGTGTGGTAACAACCTGAATTACAACATACAGGATCTTTAATAAAACACGTTACTGTAAAAATAACACGTCATACGTGCAGGCCATATTCTTGAACATGGCAAATTCTGGAGGCTTAAGCTTAATCATAAGTGGTCTTTGATGATGTTTTGTTGTTGTTTTTTTTTGTATGGATTTCCAAATTTCGAACAAAATTTTGAAACAATATCGGAAATTCCGAGCTAAATATAGAGAATATAGATTCCCGATACCTTTATCAAATATTGAAATTTAAGAATCAATTTTTTCATTAATAGGTCCATTGACATTTCATTTTTCTTTATTATTTTTACAAATGTTTCTTCCACAAGTACGTTTATGCATTAGTACTTTCGGATAGGGGAGAAAAAATATTAAGCACTTCAGATTTAATACATTGCGTTATGTACATATCATTAGTATTTGTAATTATATTTTGTCCACTAGATATGCGGTATTTTAAATGAATCATAACACATATACTTTGGTAAATTGGCTAAATTTAATCAGCTTAGTAAATCGAAAAAAAAATATTTTCTTCTTGGCACTGAATTTTACTAGCTAGCGGAGTTAATATGTTTACGTTAAATATTGTCTTATGTATAGAGATTTTACTTTAATCTGACACGTCAGTGATAAAACACGTCATGCGTGCGTGCCATTTATTCTTGAACTTGATAACTTTTGGCGGTTTAAGCTTGTATGCCCCCTTCTTAATAGTTTAAAAATGAAAAAAATACTCTCTTAAAATGAAGTACTGTGTATCTTATTTGGAAAACACAACCTATGTAACATGTAACCGGCCGTAAAGTAATTCAGAACTAAAACCGTGCGAAGCTTTAAGTGGAATACCCAGATAAAAATAAAAATGATTTTGGGAAATCAAAAAGATTTTTATATGGATTTCCAAATTTCGAGCAATATTGGAAATTCCGAGCTAAATATAGAAAATATAGATTCCCGATACCTTTATCGAATATTGAAATTTAAGATAATCAACTTTTCCATTAATAAGTCCATTGACATTTTCGTCTATTATTTTTACAAATGTTTCTTCCATAAGTATGTTTATGCATTAGTTCTTTCGGATAGGGGAGATAAATATTAAGCACAAGTTTCATATTTAATACATTGCGTTACATATCATTAGTATTTGTAATTATATTTTGTCCACTAGATATGCGGTATTTTAAATGTATTTTTATATAAAAAAAGATATAATAAATGCAAAATAAGCGCTACTTCAATGTTAACTTAGAGTTTTTGTTTGTGTGTTTGTGTGTGTGTGTGTGTGTGTGTGTGTTTTATGTTGTTGTTGTTGTTGTTTGTACAAAAACAGATTTATTTTTCTTAATCATCAATTTTCATACTCTTCCATTTAAAACTAATAAAAAAGATATCTGACATACCTTAATCTGAAGTATTTGAAGGACACAACCTCTAACTGGTGGTAAAGTGAAGTGAATCAGAACTTAACCGTGCGAGGCTTTAAGTAGGAAAGACTTTAGGAAATCCCGAGATGAAAATAGAAATGACGGTGGGAAATTCAAAAAGATTTTTTCGAGGTTTCCAAATTCCGAGCTAAATTTAGTAACAAAATACGGAAATTCCGAACTAAATATAGATTCCCGATATCTAGAGTTTAACCTTTTTATCAATACTTAAACCGCCAACTTTTCTTTTGTAGTAATAACATGTATGTTCATACGTAATATAAAATTGACCGTTATCTACCCAGTTTCAAATTGACAAAGCAGTGTATTTTGCCTCCCTTGTTATAATACGAGTTACCTTTTCTCATATTTGCTTATCATATTTTATATTCAAACAATTAAAGGATGAAAGCGAGCTAAATTTAGAAACATTTTTCGGAAATTCCAAACTAAATATAGAAAATATAGATTCCCGATATTTCGAGTTTAAGCTTTTTATCAATATTAAGCTTTAAGTAGGAAAGTCTTTGAGGAATCCCAAAATGGAGATATAAATGCCATTGGGAAATTCAAGAAGATCAAAATGTGAATATTAAATTTCCGAGGTAATTTCAGAAACACTTTTCGGCCAGTACCCTTGAATTCTGGTGTGAAGCCTGACATAAGCTCCTTGTCTAAGAGTCGTGCTTGACAGTCGTCAGATGGCGCCTTAAGTCTGGCCTTCAACTTGGGGTTTAAATGGTCAGATTCCTTTAGTATCCGGTTATTTGAAGCCGTAAAACGCAATGTGATTTCAAACTTTTGATATATTTTCCGTGATTTAACGTCATTTTTGTTCTAACTGTATATATATCCTTGTAAAGTTAACTTTTTGAGCCGCTAGAATTTGTTACAAACATGGTATCTTTTCAATAGAACTTGTAATTAAACTTAATATTTGTTCCATTTTTACTGCTCTTTTTATTTGATAGTCAGTGTATAACTCGAAAAACTTACATCAATATTTTCATACTTACTTCAGAAATGACTAGTTTTTTAAATGCTCAAACTGGGCGAACATATTCTACAGTATGGACTTTATAATCGAAAAGAACAGGGATTAACCATAACACAAAGAGACTATATTTCGACACTACGTCGAAATAATTCGCTCATGTGTATTTTTCAACCGTCTGTCTTACTCTACCATCTTTCCATTCTATACTATATGTCCCTTCTTTTAATTGACGTATGATAGCAAGAGCCTTTCGACGAAGAGACATTGACCCAATCATACCTGTTATTAAATCGGATATGTATAACGATATAGCAAATTATATCGACTGTGTCCATCATATTAAGCTGATTTTCAGATTTGTTGATACAGATGGATATGAAAAAATAATCTCGCATGTTATACACGCAGTCATTTTTGCAGTTTTCTTTTTCACATAATGCTTGTAGAATTCGGCTTGATATTACCTTTAAATGTAGAAAATATGCATTTACAAATTATTTTATATTCAAAGTTTAAAGTAAATCTTTGGAAAAAAAACACAAATCTGAATTTGAGTGTCATTGATATACGAGGTGTGTCCCAATTGTTTGCAGTTATAACGATTTTAGATCTATACATTATTAAGTTCAATAGATTTTCACTTTAAATGCAACCTTTGATAAATATTGTGATACCAACGGGTTTACAAAATAAAAACGATGCAGTTCAGTGGTTGCGGCGTAAGTCACAACGTCATTTTGAGGCCTTCCGGAGATGCAGGCTTGATCATTCATCTCATCGTCGGATACCCACGGCCGAACCATTAACATTTATCAGTAACATGTTTATCAATCGTGAGTATCCGACGATGCATTCATCTCGTCCGTGGTAAATAGCCTGGATACCAAGCGTACCTGATCCGTCTGCATTCCAAGAAAATGTCTATGAATATTGTATACGCAAAACTTTTGTTGATCCCTACTCTGTCTGATATGTAACACACTTTCGTCCATCTGTCTCTTTCTAGAACATCCTTAAGTGAAGTCACAATGCCGCTATGTATTAGTGTTGTTTTCCCCTGCAAAAGTCCGTTCCACCTGTCAAACCGTACATATATAGTCATATCATACTTTCTGTTGCCTTTTTTATCAGTTTGGTCGTCTCATTTCATGAGACTTAAAGAGACACGGTGAACGTTAAATTACGCCATGTTTGTTTACCTATTCTTTGCAATTGGTATAGTAAATTATGTACGTTGATGTATGATGTCAAAATTGTTAACGAAAGACGTCAAATACACCCGTCAATGTTTCGCGCAAAATCATGTCAGGTTATTATTGGTCGTACATTAAAAATAGAATACGTATTATAGTCAATGATCATCAAAACATGTGCACGTGCACCGGCTGGTAAAATTTCGTGTGTTTTTTAATAGAAGTTTAAAATATAGTAATGACGTATTTCTCGTAAAAAAATGCCGTTACGTTAAAATTAGATAGTTATTAATATAAATGTTTTCTCAAAAAAATACATGTAGTGCGTTATATTTTTCATGAGGACAATCCTCGTTTAACTTAACACATGTAGTGGAGTAGACGTGACATTTATTTCAGAAATTATTTCACGAAACGTATATATTAGTAGCCTTTCTTTATCTTTAATGTAAATTTGGTTTTTGTACAAGTCAAATATGCTGGTATTGGTTTAAAGAAAAGAAACTCTTTAGCCCAGAGGGTATTTTCAAATACTGTCATTTCAATCAAGCTCAAATATATATGTTTAAACCAAATCATACTGATATATTCGTTAAGTAGAACTTCCAGATTCAGAATCGCAACTTTTCGGCCCTTCCCGTCAGTCTCCGGATAAGGACCTTGAACACAATAGTATAAATTCACAGAACAAATAGTGTATTTCGGGTGGTTGGTCGGTCAGCCAGCCTGCATAGCTCAATCGGTTAGAGCGCGAGACTTGTAATGTCGACATTGTGGGTTCGATTCCTGGGCTAGCGATGGGACTTTGAATCGATGTCCCGTGTATGAATGCTTAAACACTTGGCATGTTAAAGAACCAGACGTTTCTGAAATTCGGGCATATTTCTGTATCTGTCTTGCACTATCCATGACTAATACTGTTCTGGAAGACAAGTCCATATGAGCAACCTATGGCGAGTATATTGTCTAAGCTGCGCTACAAAATCTAAATATGTAAAAAGTAAGTAAATACTGGGAGTTCCGATAAATCAACTGGGGCAAAAAAAGGGGGAAAAATAAAGATATTCAGACTTGTATTGATGTGCGTGTGCGTGTGTGTGTGATTCCTTATTTCAATCTCTATCATGTTGACTAAGTAGAGTCTCTTTATGTTAATTAATAGAATGCGAGATACTAAAACATTTTCCCCCAATTACCTGACAGGGAATTTCCTTTTCTTCTCAGCCTAACTTCTTTCCCAATATTCAAATTATTGATTACTAGTATGTAACAGACAATATGTTTAATTTTCAGGTGAAGTCATTCAAAATGAATATCAAAAATAATAAACTTATTCATAAATTAAAATATTTAATTTATTATTTCTCATGTATAATTATGTAAAGTTTAATGTCTATAACAGAAACAATCAAGTGATTCGTAATAAATACATTACAACTAAGCATAGATTATACTGTCAATATACCAGCTCAATATTCAAGCAGTCAATCTCCATTTTTTTCTCAAGCAATTAAATTCGGGGAGAGGTTGACTACACGCCTATCATAGTACATTATAGTCATGCTCTGCCAGGCACTGTCCCTCTCTGTCTGGTAGCCACTGTCCCATTGACGTGGTAGCCACTGATCCTATCGGTCTGGTAGCCACTGTCCCTATCAGTCTGGTAGCCACATTACCTATCGGTCTGGTAGCCACATTACCTATCGGTCTGGTAGCCACTGTCCTTATCAATCTGGTAGCCACTGTCCCAGTTGGTCTGGTAGCCATATTTCCTTTCTGCCTGGTAGCCACTTTCCCTATCGGCATAGTAGCCACTGTCCCTGTGATTAAATATATTGTCAAACCCTCGAAGAAAGTCTGATTTATGTTCGTAGAAGACCTCTTTGCTATTTGTCAAAGGGTATCCCTTGATTTTCTTCAGGCCTTTATAACGAAGTAGGAAGTAGATAAAACAGATAGAAATGATCATCATATGAATATATCGGAAACTAGCCATATGTTTTATGCATCGATACAGATGCATCAGGTAAAATATGCATTTTCGTTTTGAATCCTTTGTTTCCGGTTTCGGTGCAGATTACATTTTTGTTTCCGGTTCCTGTCTACATTTCGTAAGGCAGATTTCTGTTACATGGATCCCCTATTGTTACTGCTACTGCTGTTTTGACTTTTCTCATAATACATGAAGTCCTAATAAAAAAACAAATATATCAAAATATTACATGCTTGTCACTTGAAATTTAACAATATTGATGAAGCATTTCAGTTATTCTTCTTAAACTTTATAAAGGAATAATAAAACTAACAACATTGAAATACATATTACTAAGGCCCAAAACAATGAGCTACAGAACTATTCAAAGTACCATTTTCTCGGAATAAATCCATTGATAAGAACAACCGAGATACAGCTTTAACCAATACCCGGCTAGGGTCGAAAGTGATTAACCTTAGCCATCAGTTAAGGGCAATATCAACATGGACCACGTGCTTGCAGTGTAATCAGGCTCTTTAAAGCGGCCTTGAAATTTCCTCAATGTTAAGTATGTTACTTTTAGATAAATAGTTTCATACCATTGTGAATTTGTGATATCAAAATAATTAAAATAAAAAATGAACTTTGCAGACGATAAAATACATAAACAATAAGGAATCATAACTCTAATCTCTCAGTATATAAATTAGACGTACTAAAAACGGGGTCTTCTATTTTTAGAAACGAACGTCATTGACGCCCTATAAATAGCTCTCAGACGCTGTTTTACAGTTTTCAAAAGTTAAATTACTGAAATTCTTAGTTTTAAACAGCACAGAATTGTTTTTCAAACAGAATGTAAAATCTGAAGTCCGCTTTAATGTTCGTTGACTACTAGTTACTTAAAATGTCCATCAAAATATCCTCAAAAATGATAATGGACAGTTCTAAACATGGTTTTAATTAAGAAAGCAATTTAAATAAATGCCTGAAATACTTACAATTAGGCCGAAAATACTTACAATTAGAAATACGGCTCCCAGCATGACTGCCTTCAACTTAACGTCAAGATTTACTGGAACTGTCAAAGATAAGAAAACTAATCTGTGTAATTTTGTCAACAATCTTTGAGAGGCAGCTTAAAACATCTTATGTATGATATGAAATATTCAAATACATGTAGTTCCAAGTTATTTCTTAATAAATAAGTTAAGATATTTGTACAGTTTTTATTCAATTCATTTCAACTGAATTCACTTACATGATATTCCAAAATTATCAGCGTCTGTAAACATTTCCTTCAATAATCCGCTCCACTGTTTACTAACTTTGCCAACTTGTGTATGGCCATCATTTGCATTAACCTAAAATAAAATTTAAGCATTGTGACAATCAACAATATCTCACCTTTCATTACCAACATACATAACAATACATATTCAGTAATCTAACGAACAAATGTAAAGTAAAGAATCTTAGCTTATCAGCGGTCACTATAAATATGCAAACACATATGTTTTGTTGGGGGGGGGGGAGGGGTTGGCAAGAGGGAGTGGCTTGGTTCGTCGCTCCTGTCATGAACCACCGCCAATAAGTTCTCAAGCTAGACAGCTCCCTCACAAATACAAATCCAGAGTCACTAGCGGGCTTTGAACCTACAGTAAGTGGGTTGAAGTCAACGACGTTTTAACTTCTTGACCAAGGAAGCCCCCATGAATACTAGTATGATAAATGAGCCGCGTCATGACAAAACCAACATAATGGGTTAGCGACCAGCATGGATCCAGACCAGCCTGCGCATCCGCGCAGTCTGATCAAGATCCATGCCGTTCGCTATCAGTTTATCTACTTGTAATATGGTTGGTAAGCGAACAGAATGGATCCTGATCAGACTGCGCGGATGCTCAGTCTGGTCTGGATCCATGCTGGTAGCAAACGCACTATGTTGGTTTCGTCGTGACGCGGCTCAAATGAAGTAATATGTAAGAGAATGCAAGGACACATGATTTTACATGTAACAACATATTGTAAAATTTATTTAAAAATATAATAATATCTTATCCTGGACGTTTGTATGAAATATTTAAATTTAAAAGGGGGGACACTATTTGTCAAATGAGGTATATTGTAAGAATGACTTTGGTTATAAACAATTTTGACCTGATAATTCTAGGATATTAGAATCTGATTGGTTATTTTTGAATTTTCTCATATTTAAACAGACCAAGTGAACAACTTTTTTCAACTTTAAAAAGAATACCTACCACAAAATCTTGATCCCATGTACATCCATGATAACAACATGGTGGCCCAGTCATGGAAAATACTTCCTGATGTTCTGCATCAGTGATAATGTAATATGGTCGAAAGCAGCTTTGTCTGATAAACAGGGAAAAAAACATATATTACAGTGCATTTGCATTGATGAAAACATATTTAACTTCTAGATACTGGCTAAGTGTTTATGTCCGAAAATAAAAGTGTCTAAACTCTACATGAATAAAAGATTACTTGAAACTGCTATAAATTATACGCACTAATAGTTGAATACAAAAAAAGTGTTTTAGATAAACCTATGTAATTAGAAGATTTTAGAAGCTCCACTGAGGACAAAAAAAAAAATATCCTCAGAACTGAATTAAGTATCGATTTTTTTGTACGATTAACATAACCTACTTAAGCATTTCAAACTAAAATATATGTCACACGTACGGTTTTGAAAAATGACTACATTAATTAAGCTGTGTTTTCGGATATAACGTTTTTCGGGATAAGACTCGCTCACCTTTGTTTAACGTATCCTACAATATTTCCAACTGGGGCTTCTACTTGTACAACATGGGCCCAGGAATCATCGCACGCGAAACATGGGCAACCAGCACCACATTTAAACTCACGTGTTACTCTTATTACTTCCTGTATGAATAAAACACATGTACTATATATGTTAATAGGATTTAGTAAAATAATAACGTAAAATGTAACACAAAATCTTACAGTGTCAGACAAGTAAATATCATATACATGTATCAACTTTTATAATTTACGGATAATCTGCGAAAGTCAAAGACTAATAAAAGTACAAAACAACTGTAAGATATTTCACACCTTATTGGTATCTCTAATAAACAGAGTCAATCAAAAACAGTCTGCAATTTTCAACTTTTTATCTTTTTTCACTGCTGTTGGGTGATCTCCCCTGGTCCACATTTTTTCAACAAATGATTAAATAAATGTTTCAAAAGTCAGCATTTCTAGCAACTGTTCGGACAAGTGTAAGATATAGACATTACCTGTATTACAGGTTTTTCAAACTTGCTTCGATTTTAAGATTCACAATCTGACAAACATGTACAGTACTGTAAATGTGCATGACCCAATCTCAACAATTCCATATAGCAATCAAATACTGGCACATGAATTTCTTGATCATTTAAAAATCATCATAAGAGGTGTTTACTTTTTGCTTTTCTCTATCCCTCAAAAAATATAGTTTAGATAAACAGCTCATGTTTTAACCCTTTGTTTATTGGTTAGAATCTTGGATATACTTGAGGAGAAAGTTATTTTTTCATTTCTTGGGGAGAGAAAATAACTTAGTTTAAGTCTGAAAAGTCTCATAAATGTATGATACAGAAGCAGATATAAAACAAGATGTTAAAGGCCTGCAGGATTGAATTGAAGTTAGTAAAAAAGAATATGTCAGTATTTCTGAAAACGTCGGTACATACCTGGCCAGTGTTGTCTGTAATATGAATTATAAATCCCCTTGATGCTCCACAACATTGTCTTGCACAGGTATCTGATTCTGTAATTATAAGACATACATAGTAACATAAAGCGCTCGAGGTTGTCGATGTGATAATCATTCGTCTGTAATTAATACAAAATGAATTAATTATATAATTCATTATTTGTTGTCAAATGAAAAATGTACTTCATTATATGTTGTCAAATTAAATATGTGTTTCATTATTTGTCGTCAAATGAAATATGTGTTTTATTATTTGTGGTCAAATGAAATATGTGTTTCATTGTTGTCAAATGAAATATGTGTTTTATTATTTGTTGTCATGTTGTCAAATGAAATATATGTTTAATTATTTGTTGTCAAATGAAATATATGTTTAATTATTTGTTGTCAAATGAAATATTTGTTTAATTATTTGTTGTCAAATGAAATATTTGTTTAATTATTTGTTGTCAAATGAAATATGTGTTTAATTATTTGTTGTCAAATGAAATATATGTTTCATTATTTGTTGTCAGATTTATCTGAACTTGAATTGACATAAGAATAACTCCCATTGGCCAGGGGGAAATTAACATTTCAAAATAGTGTGCGGTAATAATATATGATAAAATATTTTTACAAGTTCATCATTTACTCTTTGGAATACGTGTACAAGTTTATCCTTACCTTCTGAAGCGTAGTACACTTGCTGTCCAAGGCTGTTCTGTACTTTATATCGGTTTGCTGTTTCCCAACCAGTGATAACTGAAAAACATGCAAATACTTGAAGTATAAATTAAATCTATACGAGGGTTGTCCAACAAAGTCTTGGACAATGGCTGCGAAACAAAAATATTACGCAAAAGCCTAAAATTCGTATAAATTCGACATAGGTATTTCAATATAGGCATTATGCGTTCTTTTTGGTCAACACAGCTAATGGCGCCACTGGGTACCCATACTGCATCTCTCAATCAAGTTAGAGCGCAACTCTTTGAACACAATACTTGATCATCGGGCCATTACTTGCAAAAAGGCCATACTCAGAACATGTGAGAGTTTGCTATTCACTAAAGCCTATACATTCAATATTGCAAGTATTATACTCGTATGTTGAAGAAAGATTTTTGATGAGGTGATTTTTATATGTTGGAAAACTGTTATTATAAAAAAATCTTCCTTTCTTCACTTAAATTATCAAAATAACTTTAAAAATGTTTGATATACGGTAGTAAGTTTGAAAAGCTATAATAATTATTTTAACATACTTTCGAAAATCTCCACTTGTTGTTTTACTAGAAGTTGGTCAATATAGCAGAGATATTCTAATCCAGGTGGACAAACTGGTATTCCTTGTGGTCGGGCCATCCATTGGTCTCCCGCAGCATCATAGCCCGGCATAGGCATACCTGTAAAGATCATAATTATTACATATTGGATGTGATACAAACGAATGCTTGGGCCGCTTTTCGTACTAAAAGTACTAGACCATAAATATATACATTTACACAGTTAACCGCACATTTTTCGATATAAGAACTAATAATCTACAAAATCTCAATCTGTTTAAACTTCGACTTTACAGCCAATTATCACAAGCTATTTATCGACGAATTCGACTTAAATGTTTATTTTAAATTAGATATACATGTATATGCAACAATAGAGAATAAAACAACATACCTATATGCAGAGCATTTTTTATTGTTTATTGCAGATGAAATATAACAAAAATAAGATCATATTGTTAAAAACCTTGAGGGCCGTCGTACGGAGGGGGTGGTCCATACCCTGGGGGCGGGGGTTCTCCATTTTCAACCCCATGTCCCTGTGCATGTTGATCATATGGAGGGGGGTATTGAGGGGCGCCTGAAATAAAGTAAATATAGAAAGGCTCTAATTTTAAAATGTTTGATAATGTGTAATGTACATCTATACTGTATTATTTCAGTACTAATTTCACAACAAAGTCAGAAAGAATTATTTTTGTAAAGATGTCAATAACAAATTGAAATATTATTGTTTCATATCATTCGTATTGTACAATTATTAACTAGTGAACCATTGAATATGATGTGATATTCAACATAAGAATGACATATTGACCGAGAAACTTTATAATAGTTATGCGAAATTCTAAAATGACCGCTTGGAAGTGATTTCTCTCTTCCAAGTATCAAAACAGTGTATTTGTCCTAATTTTTGTTGGATTTCCCCTACGTTTAATGCCATCAAGGCCAACGGTTTCTTAGTTACTATACGAGATGCTTTTATCATATTTGCGTTATCATATTTTATATTCAAGCGGTCATAGATAAACTGGATAATTTTGCGTCGTTTAATAAATAACACAGACCTACTTTCGATTTAACTTTGAGTAGATTTACACTAATTAACTCTGTTTTTTAGTCACTATAAATCGGTGTAAACTATTCTCCAAAATTCTAACATGCAGATACGTTATATTTTTTCAGTTACTTAATTATTTTAATGTTAGCGGTAAAACAGTACTGTACATGTACTCCAAAAATAAATACTCTACAGTAAATAAGTGAGAAAAAAAATTACAGCAACAAAAAAGTAAGACGAAAGACTGTATACAAATGGAAAATAAACTAGACTTACCTCGACGGATTACCCCTTCTCTGTTAAATATCTGGTTGAACATTTGATTTCCTAAATAAGCTACCAATCTAAATATCTGTAATCGCATCGAGATAAACAAATATAGCCCGATGATAGTGTGTAGTTATTGATTGATAAACACTGCTCGTGCAATTTATATTTAAGTTCCTTAAAACATATACGTGGCCTTCGCTACAGGAAATAATGGAAATAATAATAGAAAGTTATTTATAGATTTGACTAACAGGTACAATGTCTCGTGAAATGGGTGAAATGGTTGAATGCACCTACGTATTAACTAAATACCTGACGTGCTAGTTTTAATTTGACTATACAAATCTTGAATGCTTTAAACTTTATATAAACATTTAAAGGCTTGTTTAAATAAATTGGTCCTTCTGTAATAAAATAACCAAAACATTTCAAGTACATTTGTATAGGGGGACATGATAAATACTATTACTATGCAGTGTTCCTGGAAGAGAATGGGCGCTTAATAACAGCATAATTATATAGAAAGAATATATTCCACCGGTTTTTTTTTCATTCAAAACATTGCCTTTATAGTAAAGAACTGGGACCCCCTTTAAGATGCCGATTTACCACTGACCTTCCCGTGCGCTTTAAAAACTAAATAGCATGATGAAAGTAAAGACAAGAAAAGCATTGATGCAAAGCATCAAAGGGCGACGCCAAAAGAATTTGATCCAGATTTGCACCTAAATACTTAACAAAAGATGTGTACTTTATAGCAGTACCATTACATGTGACCTGGAGGCTAGGGCCAGTTTAAGTTGAAACTTAAACCCAAAAATAATAGACTCTGTCTTGCCAAGATGCAAAGACAATTTATAGTCAATTCAGCAATCTTATAAGAATCATGCTATATTTAGAAAGAATTTCTTCAGATTTATTTTACGAGACACAAGGATTCCTGAGTCATCAGCATATAATCACAGGCACGAGTATCGGACCTGGGAAGAAAAAATATGACCAGATGACCAGATTGATAAAAAAAACTGTGTTTATAAAAACCAGAAAAAAAAAATGTAAATAATGATCCCCTTTAAAAATATACTATCAACTTGAAGTATATTTTTAAAGGGGGTCATTATTTACATTTTATTTTGGTTGTTGACACTTTTAAGATGAACACAGGTTTTTTTATCAATCTGGCCATATTTTTTCTTCCCAGGTCTGAATTACTTGTGCCTGTGCATTATAATAAAAGCTTATTGCTTAGGGTTGAAGACATGTCATTGACATATATTAGACATAAAAGAGGACCTTAAATGAACATCAGGGGGACACCATAGGTACTCAGAGCAGTACTAGAATGAGTACCAGCCACATCCACCAGCTGCGGTCTATCAGAGATAAGACTTAAACCATGTAAGAATGTCATTATATATGGCAGATGCTTGAAGTTTCATGAAGAAGAAGAAAAACAACTTCTTCATGTGCAGTATAGTGTGTTCAACTGTATCAAATGCCTTTTGTAGATCTAAAAGTATCATGCAATTGCAATACTGCCTTTGTCAATTTCAAATAATGCAATCTGTTAAATGAATCAAACATGTGTCGATTGAAAAACCACTTCTAAACCCTGACTGAAACTGCCTGACCATGACTCGAACCCATGACTTTCAGAAGACCAACTGAGCTATCCGGCTGGCTACACATTTTCTTTTTAATAATGAAACAGTTCTAAACCACAACATATTTCCCCACTATATCGATTTGTGTCCGTGAATTTCTTATGTTACAGAGCATAGGAAATTGAACTCATGCTTATATGCAGTCACAGATTGAGAAAAACTTTGAGCTTGACCAGAACTCAAACCTGTGACCAACATAAATTTTATGAAGGCTGATTTGTATTTTGCATCAAGGGCACCGGGCAAAAACATGAAAATGCAACAAACAAACCACTTTGTGGTAGATTGTATTTTCATGTTTTCATCTGGCGCCCGGTTACTTTTTGTACTATGTTGGTTTTCATGTGGCACAAATTACCCACTATAAATTTAGTGCACAAATTTATTCAAGGGCAAGTAACAATCTACTCTATGTACAGTCTGTTGTCGGGTTGACTCAGGAGACCTGGAGGTTGAGACCGGTGTCCCTTCATTACAAATAGATAAGACAGAAGCTGTCCTTTTCAAACTATGCACATGTTAGAAAAAAAATAGAATATGAATAGAATATTCAGAATATGATTTTTTGAGACTTTATTAATTATATTGCTTGATCCAAGTTTAAGGACATTTTCAATCAATACATGTTTTATCATTTATAACTTTAAATGAAAGTCTCATCCCTTTAATAATAATGACATAACTGTATCTCTTTAAATGCAGAAAAATTATAAGTCTCAACACATGCTCAACATATCAATATACTACAGTCTAAGATATACATGTATGCACATAACATTAATAATTCCCAGTTTATATTAAATAAATATGAAATCCTAACATTAACATTAACATGCTTTTGATGACCTTACAACTGGTGAATTATATACAACAAAAATAGTATTATAAGTAATACCTAAGATAGACAGAAAACAACAAATAATTTAGTAAACATGAGTTACTTCCCTTTAAAATAGAGAAAACCTGAAACCCAAAAGAACACCCTAAACAGCAAAATTATGAAATGCTGCATGCTCAGTTTTATTAAGCCATGCAAATTAATGGTAAAGTAGTCATAAAAAATAGATGGCCATGTGACAGCAGTAATTGCAGAAAATCGGATAGCTTTCAACATCCGGATACTGGTACACTTTGTAAAAACAACCATTCTGCGCAACAGATAAATGTAATAAGGATAAAATCAATAGGATAATCGTTTACAACAGTTCATTACCTATCCTTATACTCAATTGCAGGTGAACTTTCTTCTTGTAGGAAAATTTTGAAAATGTATAAATCATTAAATGAATGAATGAACTGATACGGCCTCAATCTAGACCACAACGATATTCGAAATCCGGGTTTTAGTATTGTCAATAAAACTAAGGGACAAGCTGTTAAACTTAACCTGCAATTTCGTGAAAATAATATCACAATGCACATGCTTTTTACATAAAGTTATTAAATACAAATATAACAACACATTTGTTTACTTGATTTTTACGAATCAAAATAAAACTAATTAACACAACATGAAATTAACTGCTAATAATAACAGCTCCTTCCATAGGCAAAAATAAAAAGCGTTCCATAATAGACGACGCCGCTCACCGGCGTCGCCAAAAACATTACGAGAATGACTCAGATTCATATGTTATAACTGTGATTGTCACTGTACGGTATTCAGTACAAGGTTAACAAATAATGATCGGATTTTATATGTATATTTGCCTGCCATACATTATACCCCCGTTAATCTGATCAATTAATCGATACGGCTGGCGGCACTGAATTTATTTGGGTCTTCAAAATTAGCAACAGTTACTAATTTCATATTATACTTTTCACATCCACTAGAACTTTAAATCTTAAAGTAAAACGGGAAAGATGAACTGGTAAACATATTTTATCCACCGCCACTGCTTACCACTTCTGCGAAGGCTATGGCCAGTGTGGTGCAGTTATTACTAACTAGTACATCACAAGAATAAGAGAAGAACTGGAGCCCGTGCACATATAGCAAACATTTGGGGGTCAAACATTGTCCGAAGGCTTGACTCCCTCTAAACTGTCAATAAAAATAAATTAACATTTAAAGACAAATTTGGCATCTGTCTTAATCATTAAACTTGTTTCTAAAAGTATTAAAAATCCCATATACCGTCACTTGTCAAAAAAGTAAAGATTGCAGACTCCAAAATGTAAAAACACAATTATTCCAAACACATATAAACTTTCAAATTTAGTTGATTTCCCGGTGTCTGTCAATAGTTTATCAAATTCCCTTTCAGGTGCTATTATTATGGTGGCCGACTTGTGCCATGTCGTATTTTTCTTCCGTGGGGCGCCATAGAAAGCACGAAAACACGACAAATGACCACTTTGTCGTAGTATTCTTTTACTGACACGACAAAGTGGTAGCTGTGCCGTATTTTCGTGAAAAGTAATCATTTTTTTGCATTTTCGCTCGGCGGGGCGCCAGACGAAAACACAAAAATAAGGCACAATAACCACTTGGTCATACTTTCGCTCCGCAGGGCACCATGTAAAAACTTGACACACGTTGAACGAAAATACATGGCACAAATCAAATGCCATAAAGAATCATCAACCTTTATAAATCACTTTAATATATCAAAAACACCATTTTATTAATTTGAAGGTTAATTATGCATCCGATCCAGACAGAGTCTTCATTTGTACTAAAGTGTTTAAAGTCTTTTATTGACAGTTAACAGAGGCAGAACAGTCTGACCCCCAAGTGTATGTGGCACAAACTGACAAATTCGTGGGCCAGGTCATCTATAACATAGCCCGGAAACTGTAAACAGAAGTTAAACATAAAAATTTTCGACAGATGCACATCGGAATTTTAACACAAGGAGAATATTAATTATATTTGAGCCGTGTCACGACAAAACCAACATAGTGGGTTTGCAACCAGCATGGATCCAGACCAGCCTGCGCATCCGCGCAGTCTGATCAGGATCCATGCTGTTCGCTTTCCAAATTTATTACAAGTAGAGAAACTGATAGCGAACAGCAATGATCCTGATCAGACTGCGCGGATGCGCAGGCTGGTCTGGATCCATGCTGGTCGCAAATGCATTACGTTGGTTTTGTCATGACGCGGCTCATTTATTTACTACAAGACGGGTTTTTTTTCGTTATTATAATGGCCATTTCAAGATTTAAATAAGCTGCTGTTTTAATAATCATTAAAAAATACAGCTGTCCATGGCTTTTAGAAATAGTCTCTAATAATATTGTTCAGATTTATAATCTTTATGTATTCTTTTTTATAGTCTCATATACTCTGTAAATAGAAAAACAAGAGCCGGTTGATGCTCCCCGACTAGCTTATGTACCCAGAAAAGTATATCTTTTGTAGTTTCAGAGTTATGTCCCAGACAAAGTTCAAAATGTGATAATTCCAAACTTAGGCAAGGCAGAGTTACTGTTCTTTGCACTGCACTTCTACTCAATGAGATCTATCTACCGACTTGCGTGCGACACGTCGTCTTAATATGTTGATCATTTCTGTAAAATAGTTGTAAACTCCGACTTCAAATAACAAAGTTATGGGCCAGAAACGATTTTGCTGCAAGGTTATGCTGTGACCTTGACCTTCAAGGTAGCGACCCAAATGTTGCGCGCGACATGTCGTTTCAATATGGTGATTATTTCTGTGAAATAGTTGTAAAATCAGACTTCAAATTACGAAGTTATGGGCCGGACA